GTGAAGGGAGTATCCACAGCAAACCCAGCATAAGCTGAATGCACTGGACTTGAGTGTGACCCAGCTTCCACACGTAAATTTTGGAGGAAGTCTGTCAACGCGGACATTCCTACAAAAAATATGTCCTACAACAGGCAGATGCTGTTCCCTCCTACTCTCTGTTGAGGAGCTGCTCACCTGTTACAGGTTAGGAGGGCCTTTTCTCATCTGGCCACATCACTGTTCTTCCTTGGACCAAACAACAAGAGCTCAGCATTGCCATTCATGACTGTTCCCTTACTCCACAAACCTGCTCTATCACCCAGAATCAGCTCAAGCTCTTCACATGAAACTAAAATTGACGACTAATGCCAAAATCATAGTTGTTTTTAATAAAGAGATTGCCCTCTTCATTACTTTTTTGCTTCACTGGGAAACAAAAGTACTTATAACACACACATTATGCAGACACCCACTTTAGTTTCTGTACTGTTATTATTAACAAGTATCACTAACAAGAAAGTTGCACAAATGCAGACACTCTGCTACTTATTCTACAGAGATGCAGAGATTAAATGCAGAGATTAAAACTAAGCTGGTTAAATTCAATTACTATCCATTTCTTCTTCTATTTTTCCTTCTAACATCTGCTTTTCTTCACATCTCTGTATTCCACAGCTGCGTGTAAATCATTCTAACTTTTATAGCTTAAATTTAATCTATATTTTGTCTCAAGCCATAAAATTCTAGATTATCCATGATATTCAAAAAGCCAAGAGAAACATCCATGGATTCTTAAACACTACACTCCTAAGGTTTGTGAGAGGGGAAGGAAGTGGTGACCTCCTAGGATTTCCTGTGGACTTTATAATTTATTAGAAAAGGCTGGGGATAATGTTGACAAGGTCAGGCAGCCTACGTGCCCTTCCTCTGAAGGAGACGTTTTAACTTGCTCCGAGATGCACACAAGCCAGTAAGATCAGAATTGGGCTCAGAAAGGAAAGTGCTGCTCTATGGAGACTTTCCCCCTGTGCTTCCTTGCCCTCCTCTGACCATCTTCACCTCTTTAAAGCAGCGTCAGAGGAGGAGGGCAGGGCTGACTTCCTTAGAGTCACGTATGCTGCTGCTCTAAACAACCTGACTACCCAAACTTACCTGAGACATTGCTAGAAATATCATTTAGGCTATTTGTCTGAGGTAAAACTGCAGTATCGGAACTTCCCTTACTCTCCCTTCCTGCCCTCAAAGCCAACGACAGGAGGATGTCCCTCCTTAAACCAGCGCTTCCACCGTGCCAGCACATTACCAAGAACCGACGGGACAGGAACTCAGTCTCTTCAAGACCACAAGGACAAAGCAGTGCACAAGTATGGCCCAAGATCGTCCCCCTCAATCAGCAGCCAACGATACAGTGAATAATAAGCACACCATCTTTAGACGATGACACCAATTTTTCTGTTCATCCCTGCTTGAATGCTGAAGTGAAACCTCTTATACGCTGGCTATGCACGCACTCCAAAGCGGAGTTCGTCCTGTCTGCTCCTTTGCTTTCCCAATCAAGGCTGGTTTTCTCTCCTCTGATACACTCCTGAGAAAATGCAAGAAAGACTCCAAAGTCTGACTTGCCGCTTCTTTTGTGCTGCAAGCCAGTTGTTATATTACAGATGTAATTCCCAGATATGAAAATATTAAGAACTTAATTGCAGAGTTAACTGAGCTAAATTGCATCAGCTATACAACTTACAGAAACCCTTACTGCATGGAGCTGGCATTTTCACAGGAGCCCAGCAAGTTTAGGTGTCTCTTGACCAATGATTCTCAGAGAATGAGTAGTTACTTTCTTCAGGCTCTTTTTAAAATCCTATCATTAATGCCTACATCAAAGAAAACAACAGAGAAGTAGAAACTACAGCCCATGATGACGAAATTCATAAAGATGCTGATCCCCCTCTCAAATTCATGATCTTTGTGTATCTATTTTTGTAACTTCAACATTTCGCTAATTTTGTACTTTTCTATTTCTAGGTTGCTATGACTCTTTTTCAGTAGGTGAAAACACAGGAAGAAAACAGAACCGTTTATCTAGCGGATTCTATAAACTTCAGTGCAGAACCAAGATTCCCAAAAGACTTTTTTGTCTTCCTTATAACAGTGCAGCCTAACAGAGCTTGAGCATTTTAATGGCTAGCGACAAAACACCACAAAACAATCTAAACCATAACAAGGCTAATTGCCTGTAAAATGGGCTGCTGGCTCAACGGATTACCCCTTTGGCCCCAACCCCAAGTTTAAAGAGCTTCAATCCTCAGAGAGATTTAATTATTTCAGTAGTCACTGACAATTCTGGAGAGCGATGTCCCCTGTTTAGCAGCAAAGAGGGAGAAGCACGTGCAAGGACACCGCAGCTGAACGCTCCTTGCAATGCCCCAGTTCACCCAGACCTCCAGCAGCACCCACAGCCTAGGCAGAAGCCCCAGGAGCACCCGTTGAGTCCAGACAGGTAAGGCAACCAAAAGGAGAAGATTCAGATGCTTGCACATGAAATAATCACCTGTCCCATACAAGGGTTAGACACACCAAGTCCTCTGCGCAGAAGCCCACAGGAGGACAAACCAGTCCAACAGCTACAAGCCTCCTTTCCTAGTCCTGCCCACTGACCAAAGAGCCAGCCCAGCCCCAAGGACCCAAGGTAGCCTCACAGCACCAAGAACTTTTCTCCAAAAACACCCCTTTGGTGATTGCCCCACTTCACAGATTTAATAGCAGATTCTAAACTTGCTTGTCAGAAACGTGGGATCTTTTGTAATTACACAAATTAAATAAGTGCAATATATGAATTGCCCTTTGCATACCATTTTTCTGCCTTCTGAGAACAACAAAAACCAACCAGACATGGATTTGTAAAAATATGTACGTATGAAAAGCCGTGTCAAATTCCAAAACTGTCACTGAGTTAAACCCTTGCTCTCTCTTTGTCTCAGTATGCTGCTCCTAGCTATCTGCACCATAGTCTACTCCTCTCACTGTTTTTCTTCATCATCTGTTGACAGTAGCGGGTCTTCGGGGTGGGACCTGTTGCAAACAAGGCATGTTTGTACAGCAGTTTGTAAAATGAGGTCACAGCCTCAGGTGGGACATCTATTTGCATTACTGAAGTAACTCACTAAGAGAGAAATAAGAATGGAAGCTACTAAAAATCAAAACTATGTTGAACCACGTGGGGAACGCACATTAAAGATGCTTTCTGGGCGTTTCAACAGATATATGAAGGTACTTTGAGACAAAGCAAGTTGTCTGAAGACAACTTAAGAGCCTTTAATTGAAAAGCGAGATGTATATCGTCGGGTTTAGAGCCACCTTTGACTGCCTGGTTCACATTATTTGAGCTACTTGCAAGTTCTCATTGATCACAGAAGGAAAATTTCCCCAGATACACATCAATTAATACATAAGAACCCCAAAAGAGCAGTCTGGCAACCCACCAACACAGAGCAACAATCACTGCACTGTTAGGGGAATGATATTTAAAATAGCCATTCTGGGCAAAGCAAAGGCTACTGTTTTGTTTATTCCATTTTTTTTCTGTTAAAAATGTATCTTTATAAAAGTAAGTAACATAAATCATATGTGAAACATTACTGGCTGAAAGTGACAATGTATATGCATATAGCTATTGGTTTCTCCTATAAATTTGTGTCTCTTTGGCAATTTACATGCTTAGGAAGCAAGAGATTCTCATGACACACTGTCACCTGGCAAAGCAGGTCATCATTAAAGTTACTAGAACCCATATAAACCTGGTGCCCTTTCATATTTTGTTCTTCAGAGTTATGTATGTCCAAAACCCAGAATCCAAAACTGAGGGTATAGAAAGAATTACCCATTCAAAAGAGGGAATTCCTCAGCATTTGTATATTCGTATACACATGCACTGTCAATTTTTATTGCTTCTCATGTTCTGTGTCAGAATTAGTAGGGACTGAGAGGTAAAGCTCACAATAGTAAATCTAAGTGTACAGTCTGCTCCCCAGGATGGCTGCTCTTTCCTCATCTGACTTCTTACCTGGCTGTGAAGTTACTGCACTTGAGTAACCACAGTTATTACTACAATCACAGCAGGCCTGGCAGCTAGGCGTTTCAACATCGTTATTAATTGAGCCACAATACATTCCTACAAAGCAAGTAGCATTATACTCCTTTTCAGATACGAAAGAAAAGCACAGATAACTTATCCATGCCTTGTTCCTTACCTACCTAGTGGGAGAACAAAAATTAAAACCTAGGAGTTCTTACACTACTCTTCTGTTCTAATTACTGTGTTCCAGAGTAACTGTTTCTGTACATCACTTGATTTTGAAAATGCAATAAATATGATACTTCCAAAATAAGATCACCTCTGACCCAGTCATGTCTTGGTTAAAATTTAGGATGGAAAAACTAATGTTGCAGGTTCTAAGCGTTTATACAGATAGAGCGGATGTGATTTAACAGTCTTACCATAAAAGCTATTCTTATAACTTTAAGCGGTTCTTGTGCTGTCTGCAAAAATTTATGACTGCATGTTCATGTGAAGTAACAGAAGGGGATAGTAAATTCTTCCTTATGTTTGTACAACCCTTGTTTCAAATCAGCAGTCCCCAAACAGGAGAGCTAGATCTGAAAATGTCAGTATCCAGCAAAATATAAGAACGTATTCTAGGCAGGACTTTGCAGCCCCTGCATTCTGGGGTTTTTTTGGGGTGGGAAAGCTATATTAATTTTCTTATGCCGATCCTGGTTTGGCTCCTTCGCAGTCAGACATGGCACAC